TGAAGAATGCATTCTTGCACAGAGATTTGAAAGAAACAATTTATATGGAGTGTCCCGATGGGTATAAAAAAGGTGGTCCGGGAATGGTTTGCCGACTGAAACGCTCCTTATATGGGTTAAAGCAAGCACCAAGAGCTTGGTTTGAAAAATTTCACAGCACTATACTGCAGGCTGGATTTAAACAAAGTCAGAATGATCCGTCTATGTTTATACGACAGACAATCCATGGAATTGTAGTTTTGCTCCTATATGTGGATGATATGGTCGTTACAGGAAGTGATCGAGATGGCATTCAAGAGTTAACCGAGTCTCTACGCGAAGCCTTTAATCTCAAGGAACTTGGACCTGTTTCATATTTTCTTGGATTAGAGGTCGTACGGTCTTCGAGAGGTTACTTTATTAATCAGAAAAAGTATATCACAGATCTATTGTCTGCGGCTGAGTTTGCAGATTGTCGTCCATGTGCTACTCCAATGGAACAAAACTTGAAGCTTAGCAGAGACAGTGGGGAATTACTAGAAGACCAGACATTTTACAGGAGTGTTGTGGGGAGCTTAATTTATTTGACTCATACTCGCCCGGATATATCGTATGCCGTACAGGTCGTGAGTCAATTTGTGGGAGCTGCACGGGCTAGTCATCAAGATGCTGTTCACATGATATTAAGGTATCTGAAGCATACATCAGATGTTGGTTTGTTCTTTCCTGCAGGAGGCGAACCAACTATAGAAGCATTTGCTGACGCAGATTATGCCGGATGTTTGGACACTCAGCGATCCACTTCTGGGTGGTGTATTCGCTTGGGGCAATCATTCATATCTTGGCGTTGCGGAAAACAAGACAAAGTCTCAAAGTCGTCTACAGAAGCAGAGTACAGATCGATGTCAGAAGTCAGTTCAGAAATGGTGTGGCTTCAGAGAGTTCTACAAGAGTTGGGTGTTATGTGTCACATGCCTATGCGAATTTATGGAGACAACACCAGTGCAATTCAAATCGCCATAAATCCAGTTCTTCATGATCGCACCAAGCACATTGAGGTGCATGTTCATTACATACGGCAGCTGGTAGCAGATGGGGCTATACAGATTAGTCACTTGTCGACTGAAGATCAGACAACAGATATCTTGACCAAAGCTGTGAGTTCTAGTAGACACTGGTACCTATCAGGCAATTGATGTTACGATCTCGACATCAATTTGAGGGAGGGTGTTGAAATATAGGTACCAAAGTGTAATTGTAGTTAGGGTTTGTTATAGCAAACCTATAAATATCGTTGTAAACTGTATCAAAGGAATTACGAAATAATAAGCCCTAAAACCTGTGAGGGAGATCCTCTCCGTGGACTAGTGCCATACCGGCGATACCACGTTAAAAAATGTCTTTGTGTTCTGCGATTTAGCTTTTCTTGACAAGATCCCGCAGGCCGCCCCCCGCCTCACATGTTCTTCCACTCCCGAGGAGATCAGACGAATGAATCCACATCAGTGCCCCCATTTATTATCATGTTAATCACTGGGGTACGGCCTAGGGTGAAACAACCATACGATTTTACAAACACAAATGGTCGGTAGCTCAAGTGGTATTGGGTGCGTAGAGGGGGAAGGTGCCGTGCTTTGCTACTGAAATGCTTGCACTTCTTCTCGTTTGATACTCTACTCCTGTGGGCTTCCTTTGCCCAAAAGCTAGACAGTAAGTAAAAGGGAACCCTGTTCTAGAAAACAAGTATAAAAGTAAAGCCTTTTGCACGTAAAAGATAATTAGGGCGGACTCAAACTATGAGACTGCCACGTCTGGCGTAGCCACAGTTTAAATGAGCTGGGGTTCTTAGAAATTTCGAGTCGATTGAGGTCCTTACATGACATAGTACCAGGAAAAATATGGAGTTTATATTTCATGAATCATGCTAAAACACATATATTTAAAAAAATTTGGTATCCAATTTTTTACTAAGTGGAGTCCTCGGATTCCTCTCCTCAAAGGCTCCCTCCGCCACTGACCACACCACTTACTAACGAGTTAGTAGAACTACAACCCATTATGTACCTATATTTTCCCTTAGGGGTTGGTTCGGGCGGGGCATGGGTGTAGTTGGGTTGTAGATTAATTCGGAAAAGTTATTTCCCCACTAGACATTTGACAAGCTTACTAACATTTGTAATAATTTTCTCTCAAATTAGTAATGACTGTAGCAATTTAAACACCTCCCCTTTTGTCTTCCATGGATCCGGCTAGTACTTGTGACATGCAAAGTTTTTCATTAAGCATGCCAACTTTTCAATTGTCCAATTTAAATGAAGTATTCGTTGACATTGAAAGGTCATTAATTACATATCCCTAAGCATGTAGATCTCACTCCCATTTGGAGAAAAAAAATATATCAATCCTTCGATACTCTGTTAACCAATTGTACAAAATGTTGACGTTTTTGGCAATTTTGATACAATTAATTGTTTGTAATTGGCATCTCAATATCCAATGTAACCAATATTGATAGCCAAAAAAATTCATTGTTTAAATCTCTAGAAATTGGTGGTAGACACAGTTAGAAAATATTAAAGTAACAATTCTTTTTTATGTGAAACTGGAATGCATGTCATTCGAGCTCAAGTTCAGTAGCTACTCATTTTCACCCATCCATATGTGAGGAGTGCGGGGTGTAATGAAATTATTCGCAAACAGGTTAAAGAAGTTAAAAAAAAAAATCCCAACTTGGATTACAACATTTCACCCATCTATCTAAATCCAATCACAACAATTACTCATTCAATCTACCCAATAATGTTCCATTTTAAACCATTTCACCAGTGTCATTAACCAGCGGAGGATCCAGGATATAAGAAAGCACTGGGCCGCATTTGAATAGAATATTAGATACTATAAACAAAAATATATAATAATATAGTTTTCATTAAGATGTCAATTGTACAAGAAAGTCTTTTAATTTAGCAAATTCATCAATAATATAATCTCCATTCATACTTATAATATACTCTTTTCAAAGAAAATAGCTAAGTAGTCAACGTGAAATTCGTCGCTCATTTTGTTGCACAAATCAATGTTCATGTTCCATTGCTCAAATATTCTCTCCATAGTAGTTGTTGAAACGGCTAGGTAACACTAGACAAATCAACCGAGAAATCAATTTGTATTATGTGTACATCCCTGTTTCCTCCAGCTTCTCTAATAATTTTGCAAGAGAAGAAACTTCATCTTCCTCACATGAGTAGTGCATTCTCCAAAGAATGCATCTCATAGCATTCAAAGTCTCGAGGCTAAACTCTTGATCAAGTTTGTAAATATTTTCTTCATCAAAACATCAGAAAGACGGTTAGAATCTAGTGCTCCACTCAATTGAGGCAATCTAAATGATGGCTCAGGAAGTTTGTAAATATTTTCTTAATCAAAAGAATGGAAAGAAAACTAGCTCGACGGGTTGGCGGAGAAATCCATTTTGGGTATGCTCATCTCCTCGTTCTTGTTTTGTTTTGGGGGGATTGGAATTTTTTTTGAATTTTTCAAGGAAGGGTGTGCTTTAGTTCAGAGTTTTTATTTTTTATTTTAATGAAACTTACACTTTTAGGTTTTCATGTCTTTTTTCAAATAAAGTCATTGAGGCTATAAAAAATTTAGTATAAATTTAGAGTAATGGTTTGGATATGTTCATCTGAACCATTTTTCTAGTTACACAAAATCCTATTATCAAATAAAACTAGACAGGAATTTAAATAGCATTGAGCCAAATACCTAAATCGAAAAATTTTATAAGCACTAAACTAACCTTAGATCCGAAGGAGGGCTGGGCCGGGGCCTGGGTTGGCCCAGCCCTGGATCCGCCACTGTCATTAACTCCAAACACGAAAATATCAATCTAGTAAAAACGAATTTGAAGAAACAAAAAGGGTTAATATTTTCGTATGGCTTGAAATTTGACCAAAATAAACATCCTGGTCCGAACTATACACCAAAATAAACAATTTGGTCAAACCCGATGTTTGACCGTTAACTTGGATGGTCAAACGCGTTGACTAGCGGTAACGCGCCACATCACTCAAGTCAGAAGATCTGATAAATATTTAATTTTTTCCGTTTTTTATTTTTGGTTTAACTAAGGTATTAGATGATTTTTTTTAATTTATAATAATTTAAAATTAGGGAATGTGTGGAAATTGTGAATTATTTTAAATATTTTATGCTGACTTGGCAGTGACATGGCGCGTTGACTAACGGTCAACGCGTTTGACCGTCCAAGTTAACGATGAAAAGTTGGATCTGGCCAAATTGTTTATTTTGGTGTATAGTTCGGGCCAGAATGTTATAGATCGAAAATATTGGTCAGAATGTTTATTTTGGCCAAAGTTCAGACCATACGAAAATATTAACCCTAACAAAAAAAATTCCATTAAATACCAAAGTTCAAATACATGTAACATACCCCACATCTACTAATAGTACACTGAACTGAAGACAAGGAAAGGGGCATCCATGGTATAACACCATATCATAGACTGATAGACATGTGCCACATTCACACATCACATAAAGTCATAAACCCTTGGAAATCAGCTCTTCACCAAGTTGGGATTTTAGTATGATTAATAATTATTAATTAATTAATCACTATATAATTATTATAAAAACATGTAGAGAGAGAAAATAGGAGAGAGAGGGGGTAGGTGTGAGATTTTGACCAAACCAACCTCTCAAACTTCCCACCCAATCGAGCAGCAGCCAGGCAAGTACCCTTCCTTCTTCCTCTCCTCTTCCTTCCCCCTTTCCTTTTAATCCTTCCCCGTTCCCCGTATAATTATAAATACCCCTTCTCCCCCTTCCTTTTCTCCTCAGCTTCGCGTTCCCTCCCACAGAGAACAACAAGCTGAGCAACAATAACACATTCAAAAACAAAAAATTGCAGTTCCGATCGGTACTTTAACATAGCTCCATTCATTTACTCTTCCGCTTCTCCGCTTTCCGATTTCAATTCCGGTAGTGAAATTTGAGATATGCAGACTCTATCACCGCCTCCGTCGTCTCTCAACTCCTCGTTAACCGGAACCAACCGCCACCGCCACCGTCCCTCCTCCTCCGTGGCGGGACCAACCGTCGTTCGCTGCATCCACCGCTCCTACGACTCCGTCAACTTCCCCGCCGGCGCCGTCCGCAGCAGATCCGACTGGCAGAGCTCCTGCGCCATCCTCTCCAGCAAAGTCGCCGCTCAGGAGCAGCATTCCGATTCCAGATCTGGACGAGACAATAATGGACTCGATTCCATAGCTTCGGTCAACGGCCACAAGACGATTGACCTGGATTTGGTCCCGGCCGACGGTACCGCGACCGTCGTCGGCGGAGACAGCAGCAGCAACAACGACAGGCCGTTGCCGATGCAGAGGCCGTTGACCATCACCGACCTCGCTCCAGCTCCGATGCACGGCGCGCAGCTGCGAGTCGCCTACCAGGGAGTCCCCGGCGCGTACTCCGAGGCGGCGGCGGGCAAGGCGTACCCGCAGTGCGACGCCATTCCTTGCGACCAATTCGAGGTCGCTTTCCAGGCGGTGGAGCTCTGGATTGCAGATCGAGCCGTACTCCCCGTGGAGAACTCATTAGGCGGTTCGATTCACAGGAATTACGACCTCCTCCTCCGCCACCGCCTCCACATCGTCGGAGAGGTCCAGCTCCCCGTCCACCACTGCCTGATGGCGCTGCCTGGGGTGAGGAAGGAGTACATCACGCGCGTGATCTCCCACCCGCAGGCTTTGGCGCAGTGCGAGCACACGCTCACCAAGCTGGGCCTCCAGGCGGCGCGTGAGGCGGTGGACGACACGGCGGGCGCGGCGGAGTACATCGCGGCGAACGGGCTTAGGGATACAGCGGCGATCGCCAGCGCGCGCGCGGCGGAGCTGTACGGGATGCAGATCCTGGCGGACGGGATCCAGGACGACTGCGGGAACGTGACGCGGTTCGTGATGCTGGCGCGTGAGCCGATCATCCCGAGGACGGACCGGCCGTTCAAGACGAGCATCGTGTTCGCCCACGATAAGGGGATGAGCGTGCTGTTCAAGGTGCTGTCGGCGTTCGCGTTCAGGAACATCAACTTGACGAAGATCGAGTCGCGGCCGCACCGGAACCGGCCGGTCCGGCTGGCGGGCGACGGCGCGAGCGAGGGCGGGACGGCGAAGCACTTCGAGTACCTGTTCTACGTGGATTTCGAGGCGTCGATGGCGGAGGTGAGGGCGCAGAACGCGCTGGCGGAGGTGCAGGAGTTCACGTCCTTCTTGCGGGTGCTGGGGAGCTATCCCATGGACATGACCCCATGGTCGCCTTCCGGTGGGGATTAATTGAACCAAACCCAGCCAAAAAAAATAGACAAAGAAATTTTATTTGCTGGAAAAAGTGTTGTTTATTATTTGCACATAGAAGGGAAGTTGGATTTCATTTGGGTGGGGCTTTAGATCCATTAAATGGGTTTAAAATTGGTTGGAAGGATGGCAAAGCTGATGTGGTAATTATTGCTTGGTTGTTGAAGTTGTTGAGGGTAAATATCTTTTTTAATTGTGATTTTAACTTACTATTACCTGTATGACTAGTTGGATCGAAAAAAGTTTATTATCGAATTATAAATAGAGATGATTCTAACAGTATGAAACAATTAAATTATAATTAAATAGTAGTGAAATCATGAAAACTCGACGTATTGTCATTGCTAGAGCAGAGTGGGGGTAGAAAGCAAGCATATAACATGTACATAAATTAAAAACAAAAATACTAATATTCAATAGGTGGCCATTAGTGTACTTAGGTTGTAAGGGTATTGTGTAATTAACCATGAAAATTGATGATGGGGATCTCAAATCTGATCCCCATTTAGCTCTATATGCACAAAACTTTCTCAGCCTATTGAACTATGGAGTGGTTGAAGTATGTACTTGGCTTCTTAATTGGTTGGATCTCATTAGTCTCTTTTTATATAGGATTATTTATCTATTAATTATTTGCTTAAAATCCCTCCCAGAAGATCATAATCTTGGACGCAGCCTGCTGCATGTATGACCGAGTTAATTATGAAACACAAATAATGATGTGTGTAATTATAAACAGTTCCAAAGATTCTTCTCAAGTTCCATGCCGAGGATCATTTAGTCACCAATTAATTTTTTCTAGTTTTCTGTTACATCTACAAGTGAATTGGTGGATTTGCATTTTCTAATCTCTTTAAATTTAGAATTTGCAATTGAGATTGATAAAATAGGAATTATTAGATTCTTACAAAATCCTCATTTTATGAAGAATTCTGGAGATGGGTTATATTTTATGTCCTTTTTTATAGTGTACTCATATTTTTACTAAAGTAAAATGCTCATTAATAGGAAGAAAATCACAATTAATCTTCAGAAGGGAAAAAATTATAGAGATTTTTGAGAGTGGGATTTGAACCCACGCCCTTTCGGACCAGAACCTTAATCTGGCGCCTTAGACCAACTCGGCCATCTCAACTTGATGTCCAAATTTGTAAGTTTATCGGTTATGTTGATTTAATCTAATTTCTTCAACCTACTATTTGTATTCCCCTAATTAAGTTCACCAGCATGCTCGTGTTATTCTCTCCTCTGTTCCCATTGGCGGCAATCAGTGATCTACTTGATCCATCATGACTCAAACCGATGATGAAAATAAGTGGCTAATCAATAATGGATGATTTCTTACTGGTTTGGTTATTGATAGGTTGGTTTTTTTAGTGGTTAATCACCAAAATCAAAGATAACAACCTACTAGCATAACTACAATGTTTTCGAATTTTGGCTAAGGGAAAATTTTCAAGATTCATGACCAACCTAGAAGGTGCAAAATTGAGATGGAGGAAGGAAGGGTGATGTGGATGGGAGTTGAGGAAGCTTTGAATAGGGACCTTATGTCGATCTTCGTGGATTCTTACTGTCAATCTCTAATCTGCAGTTACCAAAGGAGAACGAAGACAAGACGAAGGTGGAAACTCTAGGAATGATTCTGGTAGTCTTATCTTCTGTTCAAGTATTATGTCTTGTACAAAAAATAACCTATTTTCTGAATTATATGTAGTCAACAGTATAATTTATAGCTGAAAAGTAAAACTGCAACCTCCATTCAAATTTTCCTGCCCATAGAGTGACTTTAGGAAGCTGATGTGGCAGGGTGTTAAGCGGGGGAAAAAAAAACTCCCCACCCAGAACTAAGAAACCGTCCCTACTCACCTTTTCTCCTGTTTCCCATGTTATCATTTAATTTTCATTTAGTTTTCGTTTGACTGAAATTAAGCCCACCTTTGGTTATTAAGAGAGAGAAGAAACTCACGGAAAGGGAAGCGCAATTGCAACCACATTACAGAGAGAGAGGGGGAAAGGTGAAAGGGAGGAGAAGGAAGGAGGTTGCTTACCCTTTTACAGATACGATCTGCGGAAGGAATGGAAGAAGCGATTAGGCAGGCGCAGAGGAGCTTCCCGTTGGCGGTAAAGTAGAAAGCGTCGGGGTTTCCATGGTAGGGGATCAAGGAGAGCTTTAGGGAGCAGAGGGTTTGGGGCTGCGATGGATCGAATGTTAGGGTTTGGAGGCGGCGGGAATTTGGGGTTCTGAGGAGAACCTGGATCGATTTGGGGTGCATATTTGCGGGTAAACTTTCTAGGGTTTGGGAAGACAAAATTGAATCGTGTAATTGAGGAGAGAAATCGGAAGAGCAACGTCTCCCCCGCCGCCACGAACCCTGCTTCTATGAGTTGAAGGCCACGTTTGCCGCAAGCCAACTCATTATATAAGGTCATCCATTGCCAATTATCCAAGCTCAAATTTCAGAGGAGGTTAGGTTCATTCTTTCCTTTTGGATTTCAGAGAGTGTATAGAATAATCACTTCATTCGACTTAGTTTCTCACTGAGATAAATGCCATGTTTCAAATTTATACATGTCTTTGTGCCTTTACTTATCATGCGTGATTTACTGAGATTTTTTTTTTATATAGTTCTCAGTTTGTCGCCCTGGCAGCTTTCCTCCCAGTTTACTTGCTTCTGTATGGGGGATCTTATTGAGGTTGAATCCACTAGCTCAAGAAAATATGTTTTGATTGGGGGTCCCGTTAAAAGGAAAGTGAACTTAGATCCATTGACCGGCTGTTCAAAGGTGAGAACCTGTTCCTGCCGTTTACTTTTGATTCTTTGCTTTTCACGTTGTTCCGATCAAAACTCTGATTGTTTTGCTGCCGATATTGAAGACTTTAGGAGGAAATTGGAACTGATTCTAAAGTTTCAACGATAATTTGGGTTCCCAAATCCCTCCCAGGCGCTCCGACATGTAGCGTCATCCTCCGACCTCACCAACTAGTGGAACTTCGAATCACATCTGAGTTCTTCAACGAGTGGCTCCCTTTTCTTTCCTAAGATTTCCTTTTTGATGATGCTTGGATCAAAGTGAACTAGGGAGGAGAGATCTGCGAGGTGGATTGCCAAAATGGGTATGCTAAAATGGGTATGTTAAGGATATTTGATATTAATGGATTGCCAAAATGAGCATGCTAAAGTTTAGAACTGTGTCATATTTAATTTTTGCTTCTAATTGGACTTCAACGAGGCTGGGACGCTAGCGAGACGGAGGAGGATCTACCGATTTTGACACAAATCCAATAGAACCAGGTATGTATAGCCTCTAATTACTTTACCTAAATTCCAATTTCAGCTCTGTTTTTTCAAGCTCTTATATTGATACGATTCTTGGGTTTTAATCAAAGAATCAGAGGATGAGATTGGAGTTGCAAGAACAGAGGAACCGACAGTTAGTGGTATTGCCAAAAGGAGCAGCAGCTAGGGCGTCGGTGATTATGAGATGAAATGAAGGAGAGAGGGTTCAAGTGACGCTATTGTCCTCTCCTAACAAGAGTAGTCATATAGGTCAGCCTCTAGGCACTACAAACCCAAAAAAATCCAATGCACCAAAGTGAATAGCTTCCCTTTCCGGCGAATAGAAGGTATGCAATACCTTTGGTGTTTGTTTTAATGAGTTAATTGGGTTTGGTGTTCCTTGCCATGTTTAATGACACAAGTTGATATATGGATTATTGATAAGGATGTTTTGTTTAGCCGCGCAAGAATTCAGTGACTTTTGAGTTTTTTTTCTTTCATGGGTGTTTAATTGAGTTCATTAGCTTTGGTTTCTTTTGTGAATGACGTGGATGTGAGATGTTATGTTGCCTCCTTGCAAAAATTCAGATAAGATGACTATAAAGGATCACTTCAGAAGCCTGCTATCTTGCCCATTAATTTCCCCCGGCTCTTTACAGGTGATGGATTGTTTTGTTGGAGTTTGCTTCTTTGCTTGGTTGGATATTGTTAGTGATTTTTGGATTAGTTCTGATAGCTTTAGCTTTTTGGTTTGTCCATGGTGAGTTATATGATGGTTTGTGGGGTTGTTGAAGGGTGCAAAGTGTGATGTTTAGATGGTATAGTGTTCTATGGTTTGGAGGAATCACGACTGATAATGATTAGAGTTTGGTTAATTACTAGAAGAATTAGATATGAATGATGAATACTCTAATTGGAGATTGATTCTATGTATCTAGATTTTATAGGTATATTATGGTACATTGATTTAGTTGGTCCCCTTGGAGAACTATGTGGCTCCCCATGGTCACCTTACAAACTTCATTCTTCTCATTGTCTATAAGACTAGGCTTGGTAGGGCTTGGAGATGCGGCTTGCCTCTATAGGAACTGTTGTTATGAGAATTAACTTTGGTTTATGTTGATTGCTGACTACATATATTGACAACGTCTGAAGTAATTGCGATGGCTTGCGCAATTGAAAACTCAACAATGAAGTAGTTTCAGCTCATGCCTTCAATAAACACTGATCTTTGTTCAATTAACAGACTCATTCTTTGAGCTTCTCTCCGGCTTTGATGGTGTGTGATTTCATTGTAAGTTTCACATGTCAAAGTGTATGTAAGTGCAGCAGTATCCTTTTAATGGTGCAGGTCAAAGTGGTTCCTTGGAGGTTGGAAGGAGAGGGATTGGTAGGAAGAAAGGTTCGAGTGATGATGCTGGTTTTCTATAGGATTGCAGGCTGTTGATAAGTGCACCAGTATCCTTTTCATGGCACAAGAGAACCATTGAATAACCTGCTGAAGTAAAGAAGACAACGAAGCATATTGAAAGACATATTATTTGAAATGAGTGTAACCTTCCACTATATATTGTTTTCGAACTCTATGTGAATGATGAGTATCGAGTAAAGATAGTGGCACGAGTTCGATGGCTTATGTATTTACGGTATCTTGAACACTCAATCACTTGAAACTGGAGAAAGAGCGGCTACCGGTGGCTTCCGTTTGCTAAGAGTTGCATTCGCTAATGTGATGCTGAGACCTTGACCTCTATTTGATGAGGTGATTCCAGTTTGCCTTTTTATGCTCCTAAAATTGTTCTATTTTGTTTTGGTTGTTTGCTCTAATTTGAGGTCTCATCCATGGTATTTGGGTTGATGATTTGCGTTTTCATTGTAATTCGGTGGATTACAGGATTTATTTCCTAATGTTGCTTTGTTATGATGTTGCGGTTTGATAGAATAAAATGAGTTTATGGTAAGGTCGTGCTTTAATCAAAATTTTGTTTGATTTTAATAATCACTTTGGTCAGTCAGCTTTTTATTTTAGTTTTTTCCTACTACTTCAAGCTTTATATGGATATTTTCAGTAAGAACGCAACATACTAAAAAGTCAGATGGTGTGCTTATGACAAACACCACTTGCTAGAAACATAAAAACTCCCTGATTCTAGGTGGACACTAATTCTGCTTGACAACTGGAAGAGTTTCGAGTTGAAGGAAGAAACTGTACAAGGGATGGTTGTTTCGGCTAGATCATCACTCAAATGAGGTGAGACGATTATGTTTACTTAATTATACCAACTGAGTTGAATCACTTAATTCCATGACTAATAAAACATAATTATGAAACAAATCAAATTTAGCCCGATAAAGTAATTTAATGTTGGATAGATTGTGAGGGTTTTTGCGAATTGTTCCTCTGATTTTGGTATGTTTTCAGGAGATTTGTGGCTTGATACAACAACGTGCCACTTTCTAAAATTCATACATGAAGTCGCTGGGTTTTCTTGGCAAATGCATAACCCGTTCTTTCGATTTTTTCAGGCCACAAATACCGGTATTCGGAGACCTAATTATTGGGTTGGGTTGGGTTGGGTTTGCCTCCTCATATAAGCTGCCTTAATATTACTAGGCCAATGTGATTTTAGCTCCTACGAATGTAACCTTGGATGTGAAGAATATAATACGCTTGTTTCATTCTTTTCCTGGGTATACCTCACTTTGGCAAACATATGTCTCCAACCATCATTATTATACTCATTAAAATTCACCGAATTCATCAACACTTACTTCCGTCCAACGGGGCGGGCTATAGCCGAATAATCGTTAAACTAATCTACATTACTTAAAAATTACTCTCAACTCTTTAATAATGTATTGAATAATTTATTAAAAATGTCCAAAATCATTTGAAAATATAATAGTATTTGATTATTATGAAGTAGATAAATAAGATAAATTCATCCGACCTACGGGTCGGGTAAAAGCTAGTTACTAAAAGAGTAGCGAAATGATTATCAAAAGAAAAGGAAAATTTGGGAACTGAGAGGTGGCCTGGCCACTGGCCAGTTCAGATTTGGGTCAATTCAAGCCCTAATGCGTTTGGGCTCGGCCTATTGAACTTGGAAAGCGTTTGGGCCCAGCGAAAATGAAAACCCAATTACATTCCTCTTTTTTCTGTTGCAGAAAAAAACAAGTCATAGCTGAGGTCTAACCTCCTCTCCTCTCAGTCTCATTTCTGCTGCCGCATTTAAAAAATTTGTCCCTCAGCTTCAGTTACTACTCTGTAACCTTCACCTAGCAATCTTATCTTCTTCCTCTCCACTTCCATCAATGGCGAACGACGGCGATTATGAATACGAGCAAGACGAGCAGCAGGAGCCAGAAGGAGACAACTCCGATGACGAGAACAACGAAGCCCGCTCCTCGGACTCGGATTCCGAGTCCGAGTACAGCGAAGACGACTACACCGCCGTCGAAGCCGCTGACGGGACGGTCTCCTACGTCCGCCCAGGGGACGAGATACCGGAGTCGATGAACACTCCCGAGATCAACATCCCCCGCTTCAAGGCCTTGCTGGACAGCAAGGCGATGAAGAAAATGGAGGAGGAGGAAGACCTGAACTACGTAGTGTGGGAGGACATTTGGGATTTCCCTCCAGATAGGGAGAATTGGAAGGAAGAGGATTTGCAGGAGCTCTGGGCGGATGCTCCGGTGGGCATGACCAAGCCCGGTTGGGACCCGGCTTTGGCTGACGAAGAGGATTGGAAAGTTGTGAAGGAAGAGATGAAGGAAGGGAGAGACCCCCACATTGAGCCGTTTTATGTTCCTTACAGGAAGCCTTATCCTGTTATCCCGGATAATCACTACGATATCCAGACTCCGAAAGGTGTGATTGAGGAATTGGATAGGATTGAGGAGTTCCTCACTTGGGTTAGCTACGTTTTCGAAGATGGAAGCACGTAAGTTTGTTTATAAAATGTGAAATGCTTGTGGAAATGGTTATTTGGATTGTGTGTGTTGTTGAATTGTAGTTAGTCAATGTTGCTGAACTGTAGCGAGCAATGTCTGATTTTATTGTGCGAACTTGTTTGATTGTACTTTTAAAGGAATGCTTGTTTGTTTGCCACACGCTATATTGGTTCAAATCTTCCTTTTGAGAGTTTCTGAACCTGCCATTCGGAAGCCTGGCCCCAAAATTCTGTTGAGATGGGAATGGTTTTGGAAGTGCGATGAGTTTAATGCAAATGTGTTTCGAGATATGAATGTTGTCTTATATTTATTATATATGTTTTGGTTCATTGAAGGTATGAAGGCACTGTCTGGGATGATCTGGCTCATGGCAAAGGTGTCTATGTAGCAGAAGAAGGCTTAGTCAGGTACGTGAACTGCATCATAGAGCTCGTGTGTGTGTGTGTGTGTGTGTGTGCTTCATGGGGTCTCCTACCTTAGCATTGCAACTTTAAAGTACAACAGCGAGTAAAATGAAACATAAAGTTGGTGACTTTGCATATGGTGTTGGCAAGCACCCATAATAAAATAAAACAGCAGTGTCCTGTGGTAAATTTTTTCTTGCACGAAGTGCTGGATTGGAATGCAAGGATAAACTAGCATCTTTAGGAGGCATAAGTTATTTTAGGTTCAAGAGGGGAATTGGGAATATTCTGTCAAAATGAGAATCTTGACGTCTCACTTTCTTCTTCTCAACTGAAATCTGAGTTCTCTATTCACCTTCTTACATTTCCAGATTTGTACTTGGTACCATGACTCTCCTACACCTATCTAGTTTCCTATATCTGACATGCTAATTGGTAGGTTATTTAATGAATGCTGTGTGCTGAGGTTTGTTAAATTTCTTTTTGTGTAGATATGAAGGTGAATGGCTTCAGAATGACATGGAGGGTCATGGAGTTTGCGAAGTTGATATACCTGATATAGAACCTGTGCCAGGTTCCAAGTACGTACTTATCTCCATATGTTTGTCATCATAATCAATAATGCATTGAAACAAAATAAAGTAGCTAGAACTAAACAAAGCAAGTCATCCATTTCCCTAGGCTTGAAGAGAAGATGCGTGCCGAAGGACACATAATTGGAAGAGATTTTATGTCACCAGAAGACAGAAAATGGCTGGAGATGGATGTTGAAGACAGCATGCAACTGGCAGGTGGACAGTATGAGATACCCTTTTATGAGAATGAGGAGTGGATCAAACAATTTGGCAAGAAACCGTGAGTTTCCTTGCCGAGCATACTCTATTTCACCTTCTGGTTCTTGTTTTAATCTTGTACTTGTATTTTTCATGTTGCACAATACTGTTTTTGGATGTTAGCTTGAAGCATCCCTTTCGCTTAGCATCAAAATCTTTGTATAAGATGACTCCATAGGCTTCTTGCTTAATATTTACACTTCCCTTGTGGTTTATCGTCCATAAGAGATGGTACCAGACGACAACTTTGCTGAAAAGGTCATGCTTCACATTGGTTGGTGCTCAGTGTGAGATCAGATATTAATAAGCTTTCTGTCCAAAGCTTTAATCACCGGACTTATGGTGACAGTCATAATCTTTATTTCTCAGGGATAAAGGACGATATCGATATGCTGGCCAATGGAAGCATGGCAGGATGCATGGATGCGGTGTCTATGAATTGAACGAGCGTATCTTATATGTAAGCCCATTAAATACACACCATGTTTGAGCTCTTCATCTTTATGGCTCAATGTAGATTAGGAAGTGTTTCTGGAGCATATCAGTATGTACATTTTAACTGTTGCACAATGCACTTTCCTTTGACCTACTAGCAGTGTATTGGTAGCAAGTGGTTAGAAATGATTACTGCTTGGAATAGCAGTAATTCTCTTGGTTCCCTACTGCAAAATATAGATTCCAGCCTTTTCCTTTTATGCCAGTGACTAACTGTTTTGTCTGCCTACAGGGAAGGTTCTATTTTGGAGAGTTTGTAGAGGAAGCAACCGATTGCACTGAAGAGATTTCAGGGGTACGGAATATTTTCTGGTCATCTTGAGAGAACTTTCAGGTTTTCTCCTGGGTATATTCTTAGCAGCGGCTCTTTCAGATGCATGCAGGAATAGCAGAGGTAGCTGCTGCAAAGGCTCGAATGTTTGTGAACAAGCCAGATGGAAGTATGTGTTATTGAACCCACTGAAAGTCTTTCGAGTAAGAAATGCTGTTACAGGTTTTAAAAATGAAAATGTTACAGAAAGTAACCTAGTCCATCCATTATTGGTAGCTTCTATTAATTGTTGTATCTGTGTATTTGATTATGTGAAAGTGAAATATTTAGACAGGTAGCCTGGCTTGTTGTCAAGCTGCTGGGGACTTGAAGAATTACATCAGTCTAAATAAAATCAACGGACTAGTATTTCTAGTTGAGTCATTAATATGTTGAAAAACGAAATGTGTATATATTGTATTTTACTTTACTAACGGCTTACTCTTGTTCTGTGGCATCTCATATTTTCTATATCTTGGAATTGCACTGCTGTAGTGGTCAGGGAAGAAAGAGGTCCATTTAACGACCCACAACACCCATACTTCTATGAAGATGAAGATGTGTGGATGGCCCCGGGCTTCATTAACCA